TTGGGGTTGGTTGCGGAGTACACTAGGCATACCCAACTCGTATAGTGTACGTTGGCCATAAGTCTGAGTACGCCGAGCGTAAGTCTAAGTACGCCGAGCGTATTCATCTGCCATTGACTTTTATCATGGTTTTATGAACATGTTCAAAATGATAATTTATTATTTTAAAAATTGAAATTTATAGTCTTAATTTTTTGAGACGTTACATAAAAAAAATCAAATTACAAACCCTAAAATTTGTAGTCAAATATGAATCCAACTTATACAATGACCCCTCGACTATTATTATATTGCATCGTTGATTTTGTGTTTTGTAATATTAATCGTTTAAACCCTAAAATTTAATAATAATAATAATAATAATAGTAATAATAATAATAAAGACAATAAATGACAAAAAGAACATAACACAAAATTTAATGAGTGTGGATATAATAAATAAATTTCATATAAATAAATAAAAAAATTAATTTGATAAAAACCTAATTGATTTGACTAATGTTATAACGGTACAATTATTAATGAAGAGATAAAAATAATACATTGATAATTGTACCGTTATAACTAGGGGTGAACATTTGGATCGAATCGAACCATACCAATTCGGGAGAAATTGGTGGGCCTTAGACTGGACTCGTTGCCGATCTAGCTTCGAGTCCAGGTCCAAGATTTTCAATTCTTATACATGTTGGACCGGTGCAACTTTAGATGCATATAATACAACTCGTTAAAGTTTTACCAAACATTTGTTTATGTATTACAACTCTTAAATTGGATCAGATTCATAATCGAACCTGAACCGGATTAAATTGACTTTTGGACCGAACCGATTTTGCAAAAATTGGTAGAACTTAAACCGGATGAGACCGTCCAAGTCCGGTGCAATGCAGAGGTCCAAATATTCACCCATATAGCAACCTTAACCAAAATCAAATCAAATAAAATTATTTTTATTTGGATAACTAATCTGAATTTTCTAAAGCCAAACAAAACAGATTTGGTTTTGCATTTTTTTCTTTTGACACCACTAAACATAATACCATGGTATTAGTTTATACAAATTGTTCATAAAACATATTCGTAACTATCCATTAATATGTAGAATTATTATTGATTATTATTATTGATTATGATTTTAAAGTTAAAATAGAAATAATTCCTTTGAAAAAAAAAAAAAAACGTAAGAGGGACAATAAGCGGATCTAACCTAATTTCGCCTACATATACATCAACGTAGTGGCCACGTTTTGGTTTTCGAAATTCTATCGAGGGTTTCACTTGGTTCACACAAGAACCCTAAAACCAACAACAGGGAAATACGAGCCACAAGAACTACGAAAAATCTCTCATGGCGGGAACGTCAGTGGTACCGGCGAACAGAGGACGGCGGAACACGATGGTGGACGACGAGAAGCTGGTCTTTGAGACCTCGCGCGGAGTGGAGCCGATTATGAGCTTTGACCAAATGGGAATCAAAGACGATCTACTCCGTGGGATTTACCAACACGGATTCGAGAAGCCCTCGGCAATTCAACAGAGAGCTGTTAGACCTATCATTGAAGGTCGAGATGTCATTGCCCAGGCTCAATCTGGTACCGGAAAAACCTCCATGATTGCGCTTACTGTTTGCCAGATTGTCGACACAGCTTCAAGAGAGTATGTTCTGTTATTCATCTATTTGTTTATTCAATTGCAACTTTTTCTAATTAATTCGAAAATAAACCATAGATTTGTGCTATAGGGTTAGTTTTCAAGTCTCTCCTTTTTTGCTGGCAATTTCTCTTTATACACGGTGTAATGTTTTATTTTTTCCCTTTTCAACGAATAATTTTCTTATCTGGTAGCACCCAAGACATATTCCCGTTCGTGTCTGTGAGCAAAGGTGTAGTCAAAACTGGGGATTTGAGACACAGGGTTGCTGTTTCTTTTGGCCAATAGCTTTGTTTTAAAACTTAAAAACTTTAGCAGCTTTTATTAGGAAGATCTATCAATGGCTTATGTGAGGGCATCTACTTTGCTATATGTATACAAGAAACCAACTTCTGAAATTATGTAAAAATTAAAATGATGTATACTCATATCCACCAGTAGGCCAACACCACTTTCTTTGATTTATAGATACTGTAGCATCTGAAATTGAATCTTAGGATGGATCTGTTAATCACTGGATGATAATGATGATGTTACAACTTTATGCTTGTAAAACTTTTTCTCTTATGGTTCCTTACATCGATTTTACATCTTCATCTATAGGGTCCAAGCTTTGATCTTGTCACCAACAAGAGAGCTTGCAGCTCAGACAGAGAAACAGATATTGGCTATAGGCGATTTCATCAGTATACAAGCCCATGCATGCATTGGAGGAAAAAGTGTTGGTGAGGACATTAGAAAGTTAGAAAATGGAGTCCACGTTGTTTCTGGAACACCTGGGAGAGTCTGTGACATGATCAAGAGAAGAACATTGCGAACAAGAGCCATTAAACTACTAATTCTCGTGAGTTTTCTATCTTCTAACTTCCCTTTGTAACCAGTATCAATACTTCCATCTTTAAGAAGACTTGAACTTGAAGTAAACCCATAAATTGATGTATTTGAATGTCTTAATTTTCAACAGGATGAATCTGATGAAATGTTGAGCAGAGGGTTTAAGGATCAAATTTATGATGTCTACCGTTATCTTCCACCAGAGCTTCAGGTGTGTTTAGTGTCTGCTACCCTTCCCAATGAAATATTGGAGATGACCAGTAAATTCATGACTGATCCTGTTCGAATCCTGGTCAAACGTGATGAGTTGACTCTTGAAGTAAGACATTCTGCTTTCATAAAGATTAAATATCCTAGCTGTTTTATCAAGATATAATATAATTAATTGTTTTATTTGATCATGACAGGGAATAAAACAATTCTTTGTTGCTGTAGAAAGAGAAAACTGGAAGTTTGATACACTGTGTGATCTGTATGATACTCTCACAATCACACAGGCTGTAATTTTCTGTAACACAAAGCGAAAGGTAAAGCAGTGGAATAATCTTGTGTTTTAGTAGTAAATATAGGGTTTCAAACTTGAGCTTTTTCTCACTTTCATTATACTGATGTAGGTGGATTGGCTGACTGAAAAGATGCGTGAAAACAACTTTACTGTATCAGCCATGCATGGAGATATGCCTCAGAAGGAGCGAGATGCAATTATGGAAGAGTTTCGATCTGGTGTTACTCGTGTCTTGATTACAACAGATGTGTGGGCCAGGGGGTTGGATGTTCAACAGGCAAGTGAATGTGAAACTCAAGAAGATCTTTATCTTATTGTTTCATTTCTCATGTTATAACTGATTTGTTTTTTTCTTTTTAGGTTTCTTTGGTGATTAACTATGACCTCCCAAATAACAGAGAGCTTTATATTCATCGGATTGGTCGATCTGGTCGATTTGGACGAAAGGTAAACTAAGACTTTATGTCTTCTGTTATCTGTTGTTTGTTATCTGTTGTATGTAATATATTAGTTTGAATGTTTTGCAGGGTGTTGCTATTAATTTTGTGAAGACGGATGATATCAAGATTTTAAGAGATATAGAGCAGTACTACAGTACCCAAATTGATGAAATGCCAATGAATGTGGCGGATTTGATATAATAATGGTTGTAAACTGAAATGAAATGAGTTGTAGTTTTTACTGGTGGTTTTTTTTTTTGAGTAATGAGTGGATCTTGCTGTAAAACTTTTGAATTGTTTTGATTGTAATTGTGGACAGATCTTGAATTCTTTCTTGTAGGGTGGTGAAACTGGAAAGTTTGGTTTGTCATGCTGAATTTGTATTGTGAATATAAGTAAGTGTATCTGCTGTTGGTCTTTTATTTCATCATAATTCCACGTTTGTTTGTGTTGTGCTAGAATATGTATGTATCTTTGCTTCTCTCAAGTGAGATGATATACAATGATGTTGCAAGCAATGTTTTAAAACCTGATTATTTAGTTGAGCAAGACTGATGATTGCGGACTCTAAAACTGTTGTATTTAATTTCAGTACCAAAAATAATTTAATCAACTTCAGTACCAAAAAAGGGTCGTTAAATTTACCAAACATAATCAAAAAGCTTCATAACATTTACCATTTATTTTTTGTAACAAACCATGCCAATTAACATAATCAAAAAGCATCCACATGGAACATGTTCTTGAATTTATTCAAAAGTGCCCTCACTCTACCATCTTTTACATAATTTATTTTCATGGGTGATACATACATCAAAGATAGCAGAAGCAACATCTTTCATTTCTAATGGATGCCCTTCTTCCCAAAGATAAATAAGTGGTTTCAAAGCATCGACTTTTCCAATTAAGGACTTGTTGGAGTCACGAAATGATAAAGTAAAAAGGGTAGAAGTTGCATTGCTTCGTTCTTGGTTTCACTTGTTCCAAATCTTAATATGTACAGTAACAGAGGCATCAACATTGGTGTCTCTGCAACGACTTTCTTGTTATCAATTTTTGACAATAAACTTGTATTTTTCTTGTTATTTAATATTTCAATTCATATCTTTTCTTTTTTCTTTTTTCTCTTGCCCGGACTTAAAAAAAATGGGTGGACCAACACCCAAAGATATAAAGACTGCTTCTGGATATATGACCTGCAAACATTACATAGATCGAAGTACGGTTGGAATATATAAAAAAAATTATTTTTTTCAGGATAAAACCAACCGTCCAACGTTATAGACTTATAATAGAGGGAAATCTTGCGCATGGGATTTATACGTGAACTTTGTTTCCAAAAATAAAGAAAAACATTAGATATATATTCCTTACCACGCAAGAAACAATAAATATATACTAGATATTTTAAAAAGATTTAGTTTCCTTTTTGAAGTAGTAGTATTCTCCAGTTTCCATATATAAACACCACGTATCTTAAGTCTAAAGTCTTAAGCTTATTATATATATACTAATACCATCCTTAACACACATACATGTAAACACACAGTAAAAACACCCACTACCACTATATGAAGAGACTGCGCAAAAACGAAGGTGTGGCCAACCGTAGGATGATGGTGGACAATAATCCGGCAGAAACCTCAATTACTACTTTTCCTAATAATGTTGCTGGGCATCGTTGGTATGAATGCAAGACATGTGGAAAGAAATTCGATACTTTTCAAGCTCTTGGTGGACACCAGGGAACCCACAGAAAACTTAAACCCATTGATGATGACGTATGCATGTTAAGCCTGCAAATAGCTCCTTCTCCTATGTTAAGGTTACATCAATGCAAGATGTGCACCAAGAAGTTTGATACTGGGCAGGCGTTGGGTGGACACATGAGGCAGCATAAACTTGAAAAAGATTTGATTTTGATGGGCAGGGATGAGCTGCCATGGCGGCAATTGGTGGCGGAGGAGAAACTTAAAAGCAATTTGGTGGTGGAGAATGCTAAACAACTAGGGCAGCAGAAGGTGGAGGAAGATGAACATGATAGGGTGAAAACTGAGTTACTTTTGGCTGCCAAGGAGTTGCGATTAGGTATCTGATATTATTACATCATCACATTTTTCACTCATACTTAAGTATATTATTAATTACAGATTACAGATCAGAGATAATTTTAGCAGATAGATTTTGTAATCAGCAAAGTTTTTAGACTTTTTTTTTTTTTGTATGAAATCATGAATATATAAATTAAGGTTGTCAATGTCGGAGATTTTATCGTTGGTCGTTTTTTACTTGATAGATTGTGAATTTGTGACTAAAAGTCCTATCACAGTGAACTAGTTTCTTTGGTATGTAGTATAATTTATTAAGTATAAGTCAAATTCTCAAAAAAGATTTGAACTTGAACTTCATCTGTTAAAGGATGATTGGTCCTGCGTCAAAGACTAAAAACATGCAACACAATAAAGGTTGTCTCATAAACTACATCCATATATACGCTTCACATTTATATAAATTTATCACTTTAGTATCAAAACTAGGGGTGAGAATGGATGATACCATACCACAAAAATACACACAAAACGAAAGTAAGATGAAACTGAAATTCGAATTCGTGTTCATGTCAAATATAAAAACATGACGTCGTGTTGTGTTTAAAATTCGACACGAACTCAACACGATTTAACAGTTGTTTGTGTGTTTTTTTGTGTTATGTAAGATTAAATATTAAGTAATAAACTAATTGTTATTTTATGTTATTTTTATCGTATCGTATTTACCATTTTTAATTAGTTTGTTTTATTGTTATTTTAAAAAAACTCGACATCGTGTCGTGTAGTGCTCGTGTTACATAACGACTTGTCATGCTATGCCATGTTAGACAAAAACATGACACTATTGCCCAACTTGCCACCAATAGTCAAAACTATAAAATATTTCGTATAAATGTAACATCCCAAAATGACCCAAAAATTTCATTTTTCATTCAAGTAAAAACAATATTCCAAAACATTGGTCATACAACCCAATAAAATAAGCATGTCAAACATCATAAAAATCAGAGTGTGTCCCATAAACAGAATCCATATGGTATATGCGATGCAGTCAACTCGAGCTCTTCCCCTTGGAAACGGAAGTACCTGAAACATAAACTAAAAACCATAAGCACAAAGCTTAATAAGTTCCCCAAAGTACCACATACCAACATACATAGCATATAACGGACCCCGCCTAATGAGTATAACGGTCCCTGCCCTAACTCGCATAACGGGCCCCGCCCTAACTTGCATAACGGGCCCCGCCCTAACTCGCATAACAGGCCCCGCCCAATGAGTATAACACCCCCACCATAACTCGCATAACGAACCCCATCCAATGAGTACAGGTCCCACCCTAACTTGTATAACAGGCCCCGCCCACATACAAATCATATAGCCACTAATAACATACTGGATAGTCACCGATCCCCGCCTAGAAAACATACAAGCACAGTGTCACACAGACATGGGTCTCCTAATAGAACAAATCATGGGTCGAAAACGGTGCCTTCGACCCGCTATACAGGGTGAGGAAACTCACCTCGAATGCTAAATCTCATTGAAGATCCCTAGCTGCTGTCTCAATGACTTCTCGAGCTATCAGTATAAAATAACACCCAATTAACACTTGGGTTCCAGACTATAACTAATGATCCATACTTGGGGTAAAATGACCATTTTACCCATGGCATAGCTTGATCCAAGACTAAGGCCCAAATCTAACTTTAAGGCCCACTTATAGCCTAATTTTCCAAATTGGGCCCAATTCCTTCTTATGGGCCTTAGCCCAAGGTCCACTAATATTTCTAGCCCAAAACTCCCAAAATCAAATGGCCCAACTAAACCTTAACCTTCTAAGACCAAAACATGCCCCAAACCTGAGGCCTAACTTTAAAATGCCACCTGATTGAGTATGCGGGGCATACTCAACATGTACGCTAAGTGTACTTGCTCGAAGACCTGTACATTATGCGTACAGGCTTGTACGCCCAGCGTACTCATCTAGATCAGCCATCTTCTAGATTTAGCTCTCAACCCATTAAGACATCGCCCCAGAATGTAGATATGACCTCCTTGAACTGGGTTATCACGTAAAGTTGCCAACTTTACGTCCATGCATGGCTATATGAAGATCTAAAGCTCAAAAATGACCTACTAAGAGACTTAATGGATGTGTGAGGTCCTAAACTTCATAAAGTTGGCACCTTTATGCCTAAGGAGCCCAAGATAACCATAGATCTGAAAGAATAAGTCTTTGGGACATCCTAATTCCATCATTCATGCAAACCATGGCTACAACATAACAATTTAACCCAAGAAGAGATATAAGCAACTAGTAATCAAGATAAGAACTTGATACCTCAAACTCCTTGCAAAATGGGTAGTGATTTTGGATCCAAGCTTAGCAACTTCAAGATCTTCTAACTCCTTCACAATGCACAAAATAAACACCAAACTCTTTTCAAAGGCTCAAATGCTTAACAATGAAGGCTACAACTCAATTTAGGGTTTTGGAGGCTTTGGATGCTGGTAAAGAGGCCATCCCTAGAGAATAAGGTGGTTTATATAGGATACAAGACCCTCAGTTTGGTTTTCATTATAGTCCATGTAGACCCAACGTACGCATATGTACGCCTAGCGTACATGACCTGGGTCCTGAATCGCCAATAACTCAGCACTCTAAGCGAACAAAGTGGTATGCCGGTGGTTGTTGAGGCCAACAAAATAAATACCCTAAATATTACACACTAAAATAGTGTATAGTAGTAAAGGGATCGTATCCACAATGGTTCTGGTTTTGTTGTTAATAAACCAAAAAAATGGAAGTAGATGGAGTAATATATTCATTGTGTGATCTAATTGGAACTCATACCAGCAATGGTTCTGGTTTTGTTGTTAATAAAAACCTCAAAGCTAGGAACTTATGAGTTTCTGATACAATACTCGAGGAGGGTAGTAATGGCACCATCGTATACAAGAGGATGTATGAGTCGATGAATGTTGTCGTGAAAAGGGTAGTGAATAGTGATACGGAGCATGATGCCAGTGATATGCAGCATAATCTGACACATAAAGAGATTATCAATCATATTGTGTCTGATCAACACTCTAACATTGTTACGAATTTTGCTATAATGTGTAATCAAGATTTCACTTATATTTTTTTTTGGTTTTTTTAGAGATGCAACTGTAGTTTACAGTATTTTGTAAGTCCGACCGATAATTTACGTGACTACAGCTAAAGAAGAGTTTTAAGGGTGTGGATTTAAAATCGACACGTAACTAGCCTTCATCAGTTTTCTTGAAACTAATGAGGTTAGACCGTGTTTTTTATTTTATTAAGTTGTATTGTCCGGATACGTGATGCTTAACAGATATTGAAAAATTCATAAGAAATAGGGGTTAAAAGCAATGTACTTTAATTAATTTGTGTATTATTACATCATTCATATGTATCCACTTTGTCTAGTGTTGGAAGCACAACACCAACTTCAGCCATTGTAGAAGAATGGAATATTGTGAGACGGCGAACAGAACGAAGACGTTTAACTCTGAACACTTCAAGTTAAGAACCTGTAAAATGCATACAAGATAGTAGCATGTCTGGCATATATTAATAATGTAGCGAAGCGAATAACTGAATGGATGAATGTTAGAAACGATTTTTGTACTTACATGCACAAGAATTTTAAAGGGTAAAAGGTTTCATGTACAAAATTTAGAAAGAAATGTAAGTGAAAGTTCAAACAAGTAAGCACAATTCACACATAAGGGACTCTTACAAGCCGGCCTCTATCAGATTTTAATAAGAATTACAGCAATGTTCTTGACTAGCCAAATGAATGTAAATTGAATAGGACACTATATAACGACAAATTCTACATCAAATAAGGAGATAACAGCAAACAAAACAAGTTGAAAGTAAAATAAACCAATTGAAGTTTCAAGGTCAAAATGTAGGTCTAGTTTTTTAACAAAGAGGAGATCAGATGATGAACCTAAGAACAATATCTACTGACCTCGGGACCATGTTTGTTGATGGGTGCTTGAAATAGATCGACAGGGTCGCAATAGATCCACTTCCAAATGAATAACAATGGGATTTGTAATATGAATGAAAAAGAGAAATGTACGGATTCAAATGGAGAATTCCTTTCTTTCTATTACTGTAAATGAAGAGGGAAGTAATAGATGCAAAAAAAATTGAGAACAGAACAGGTTATTGAATCTTACCAAGTAAAAAAGCGAGAACTACATACTATGTATAATATAACAGGACTAGGTTAATCGGTATTGTTACCGCATGACGATTGAAGCTTCGATTGAACAGATTGAAGCTTCGACTTTGACGAGAGTGACAACGAGAACAAAAGAGAGTAGTGTAGAGTGGCGGCGGTTTTTTTTTTTTTTTTTTTAAATGTAAGAATCTACCCTAATAAATGAAAATGTTTTTTTTGCCAAATGTCATGTTCTCATTTAGTTTGACACATGTCATTTTGTAGGATTTTTTGATTTTTTCTTTTTCCACTTGGTATTTTCTTATGCTTTCAATTTTCTTAAATTTAAAAGTAAATTCCATATTTTATGCGAGTTTATTTATGTTATGTAGAATCATTAAATTAAATTTCAATAACCATACCAAAAAAAAACGTACAACTACAAATTAGGCAATAATCAATTTTTCCATAATTAAATGTTTACACATCATAATTTTCACTTATACAATAACTTTTTCAAAACAAAAAATGTTATGAAATCCAATTATAAACAAAGAAATTAGTTTTCATTTATTAGGGTAGCTATATTGAAAAACTTGATCCTTATTATTTTATATTCAACTTTTTTTAATAAACCCGTGTAATACACGGTGCTCACACCTAGTGAATCACTAACCCTAAAAACCACTAAGGTCAGCAACGAGGTATAAGTTCTTTTTTTCTATTTTTTTTTAAAATAAAATCATCAAAATATAAAAGTTAAATATATTTTTATTTAAAAGGGCAGATACCCGTCGGTATCGGTTCCGGTTAACCGTCGGTTACGGGTACCTGGTATTGGAACCGAAACCGGCGGGTATTCAGCCGGTAACGGTTTTGTAAAAATGAGAATTGGAACCGGAACCGCTTAAAACGGTTCTGAAACTTCCGAAACCGAAACTGCTTAAGGTAGTTCTATTTTCAAAACCGACAGCTCTGGTTCTTAAAGTAGGTATCTGCTTCCGCTGCCGATCCCTATTTTCAATCAACAATAAAAAACAATGTTTTAAAAATGGGTTTTTTAGTTGATCGGTATGGTGACCGATTCACGGTTCAACCTGTTTAACCGGTTCGATCGGCGGGCCAAACGGTTTCTATAATTTTCAATTTTTTTCCTATTTTCTACACATGCATACATATATAAATCTTGAATTTGATGTTTACATGTTAAAACATTACAAATATATATAAAAATGAGTTATAGATGAATCAAAATACATTAAAATAACACACAACTATAAGTTTTAGTGTTTTACATCAATTCATATACATCAAAAAGAAAAAATAAAGTTTAATATATAAACAAAATATAATTTTAGATGAATACAAACACATCAAAAAAATTTATAACATTACCATATATATTTATTTTGAGAAAATTAAATAGATTTGAAAAAAATCATCAAAGTTTATTATGCAAATAGTTTTTATCCATATGTTTTTATTTGATTTAACCGGTTTATTTTGACCGGTTCAACCGGTTTTTTTCTGAATCCTGTCGGTTCAATCCGATTAAAAAAATGATATAAAACTGGTGATAATTGAATCGTTTCCTCCCCCGGTTCCCGGTCCAACCAGTTTGACCGACCGATTCAAACCGGTTTTTAAAACATTGATAAAAACTTACCAACATGCCTTCGGTTGTAGAGAACTACAATGTAAGTTGTACAATCTTGATCCAATGCTAAACATTTGAAAATTTCATCGTTTCCTCACGACACGATTCTAATAGTCAAACTGTCACTTTTCTTGGATGACCATTTACCCTCTCCAAAACATAGTACATCACACAATAAAAGTTGTACATTTACATGAATCTGTTGTTTTTATCAATTACATAATTGCTATCAAAACAAACTCAAGAAACAAGTTCCATGAAGTATCACATAAACCATCGATCAAGCACAAATGGATTACAACATTCCAATAATAAAAAAGAAAAAAAAAAATCAGATGACAATGACTTCCTGGTGAAAATAAACCCTATCAAGAGTTGAAAAACCCCTATATTTCTACCTGAAATCGTCAAGCACAAACTTCCTATTTACATTGAAAGAAGAAAGTGAAGGGTGATAGGAAGGTATGTTTTTTTTAGTTTTGCTTGTTTGCTAGGGCTTTTTTTTGTACCGTTTGGGGTTTAAAATAATGAACTCTGAAGCATTGTGTTCTAGAGTTTAAATTTTAAAAAGGGGGGAGGAAATGGTGGGGAGGGGAAAGAAAAAGAAGAAGATGGAATGAGAACGAGGAGATAGATGCATTTTCGAGTTGAAGGGGAAGGAAAGAAAGTTCAATGTCAAATGACGCTTTTACCTATGTTTAGGGTTCATCAACTTCGATGCTTCATTAAAGGAAGAAGAGGGAGAAGAGGAAGGAGAGAAGACAATAAACAGTAGTTGAATGGCATGAAGAACATGTTCTGTGAGATTGAAGTCACGGTGAGATAGATTAATCAAAGTATGGTGTTTGGATTCCTTTAGAATGAATTTATGAACTTTTGGTTTTTTCAAAAGTTAAAAGTCAAAAAAGATGTTTTAAGAAGTCGTTTTAGATCAATTTTTGGTAAGAATAAAAATAAGCTTTCAAAAGTTATGAATTAGTGACTTTTTGTGATTTTTGGGTTTTTAGCTTTTGGCTCTTCAAAAGATAACTCAAAACACATTTTAAAATCTTTTTTTTTTTTGTAAAAATTCATTTTGTCAAAAATGACATTTTAGCCTTAAAAGCAATCCCAAACACTCTTGCAAAATCAAACTTTTTATTTTTTCCTTCCTAATCTTGTCCAAATATGAGCGGAAACAATCCTCTTTTTTCCTTTGTATTTTTCTCCTTAAAAAACTTACTCTCTCCTTCTAAATCCTCTCCTTTCCTGCCCCCTCTGTCCTACGAAAAACTCGAGAAACTAGTGTTAAAGAGATAAAGCTTTTTTTACTTTCAATATTATCTAATTTCAAATCCATAATCATTTTTTATTTTCACAAGTTCTATTTTGTTTTGGAAAATCTTTAGAAAATTCCTAAAATACCTTTATTTACAAAAAAAAAAGTCTCAAACTAAAATATGTTTACGAAAAAACATGAATTACCAGTAAAAATGACGATTTGACCCCTTTTTCCCGGTTTACCGGTTTCATTATTTACTTGTTTCATTAAAGTTTTGTTATTTTATCCTAATTTACGAATAAGTCTCAAACTAAAATTTAGTGATGATTTAGCCATTTTCTCCATGTAACATACATTTTATCGGTTTCATTGCTGATTTAGACACCTAGTCATTAAATTTGCTAATAAGATAGATAAGATGGGTTATAAAATACTACATTTACTGTAAAATTTAATATCTATAACATCGACTCATTTATGACTATGTATCTAAGTCAGCAATAAAACCAATAAAATGTGTATTTCCAGGAAAAAAAGGGCTGGAAATAAACTGATGTCTGATGAGATGGATATATTGGGTTACATAAGGTTAGATATACAATTTGAAATTTCTTATAAACGTAAAAAATATCGCAGTTGTTACTAGTTTTTGTAATTATTGCAGTCTTCGTTGGATGCATTTTATATTCCACAAAATATACATTATATCAAGATATTATATTTTATGGTAAACATAGTATTATATAACTCAATATATCCATCTCACCAGCTCATTTAATAACTAAGCGTTCAGGTCAGCAGTGAAACCGGTAAAATGTATGTTACATGGAGAAAATGGTTAAATCATCACTAAATTTTAGTTTGGTAGTTATTCGTAAATTCGGGTAAAGTGTTGAGACTTTAATTAAACATGTAAGTAATAAAACCGGTAAACCGGGAAAAATTGATCAAATCGTCATTTTTACCGGTAATTCATGCTTTTTCGTAAACAAATTTTAGTTTAAGACAAAAATAAGAATTTTACTGAAGTTTTCACTTAATTATATTATTTTTTTATTAATATATAGATCATTTTTAAAATATTTTGATAAATATATTTAAAATATTATGGAACTCATCAAAGTGACACATCCCTCTTCTACGTATGAAGACTTGACCTCTTCAATATGTTACCAACCGAACCAATAAAATTGATAGCCAACTTTTTTGGTAACCAATATATTTGGGCGGTAATATCATACCAATTAAGTAAGTCTTTGTATGGTAACAATATGAAATTTTGGATACTACGGTTCTACCTTACGAACCTATATATATATATATATATGTTGAACACGACTCTTTATATTGGAAACAACAAGATTTTTATTAAGACACTTAAGAAGAACTTACTATGTGAGACTACTATACACTTTGCTTTCTTTGAGGCTTTCTTGGATGGTTTAGAGCAAATGAGTTTCACACCTATTTATAGACCTCTTAGGAAGGTTCTAGATACTAGTATATACTAACTACTTACTAGATAACTCTAGAACTATCTAACATATTCTATAAGCTTCCATATGTTTCTAGAATGTTCTACAATGTTCTGGAGAGATCTAAGTTGCTCCAGTGTCTTCTAGAATGATCCATAACCTTTCAGGGTCTTCCATGTCGTTCTAAAGTATTCTAGACTCTTCCGGTATATTCTGAAGTCTTCCATGGTCTTCCACAATGTTCTAGAATCTTCTAAAGCATTCTAGAACAAGCTAAATTTTTCTAGATAATATTTGTTCTATTGGGTTAGTGATGATATATATATATATATATATATATATATATATATATATATATATATATATATATATATATGAAGAAATATAAATATCAATTTGTAGTATTTTCATGTTTTAATTAGAGTAACAACTAACATTCTTGGAACTACTAACATAATTGAGTGATTGGCAATTTTTTTTATACTTTATTATCTTTTGAGCACTTGATGAGTAAAATACCAAACCAATTATATTACACTAAAAGCAAAAGTAATACCAAAAGAAATAATGACCATAAGTCCACAACTTCATCTCAAATTCGCGTTTAAGATGTTTTTACCTTACTTATTCTCATAATTCTTTAGTAATCTGCAAAAAGGATTCTTTGAGTTTGTCGTTGAATATATTAAAAGATTACTTTATTAAAAAATTATAAACTATAAAATGACAACACAAATACAATTTAGTTTTGTTAATTTGCTGCTTGGCGTGTGTTGGCTTGGGTTTGCACACGTTTAAAACAGCAAAGCACAGCAATCGATTAGAATATAATAATCTATACACCTTTGTTATACATAGGCAGCATGCTAGGGTACAGATTACACAAGATGAAATCAAACACAAACCAAACCAAAACACGAGAACGTGATTCCAACAAACAAAAAATCAAAATAAATAATTACATCCCATGACACACCAAAAATTATATATTTACACGTGAAAAGTCAAACAGACTCAAGACCGAATCAAATGAATCATAAAACAGTATTGATATGAAGTGCTTTAAGCAGTGAGGTGGCCATTTGCTTCACCAGAACTTGACCACCAGAGCTTTGCCCATCTCTTCGTTCTTCAATTAAGTTTTGTAATTTTTGAGGCAAATCATTCTCTACAATCAGCTGCTTTGGACGTGGATGATGTTCATATACAGCCTGTCACAACAAAATAAATAAATAAAAATGACTTAACGTAGAATGAAAAAAAAAGAAGCAACACTTTTCCAAATTCCAACCTTTATTAATTTTAGCAGAGTGAGACGTGCTATAGCATCCTGGTGATTAAGTCTGGATATGAGTAACGGTGTCAACCCGTTAACAGCCAGTGTTTTATTTATCTCAATTGATTTCCTGCAGGGCAACATAAGGAAAGGATTGATTATACACATATTGTTATGATTAAAAAAAAAAGGTTAATGGATTAAAAAATAAAAACGTACGTGATGATTTTCAAAAATGGCTCTAATATGTGAAGGAAAAACTGTTCAGGACAGCACTGAAAGAATCTGACCAACTTCTGAACAGATTCCTTTCTCAACAAAGCTTGTTCCACTTTCTTGTTGTCATTGTCATGTGCCAAACACACAGCAATTGAATCCAAAGCTGTTACAGACCAAAGCTGGTCTTCAAGTAAGCTTAAGTAGACATCCATTCCACCATGCGCTCTCAACTGTTCCCTCGAATTACGTGACGCGTGGGCCATATCACATAACAAAGGCAATGCGTATTGTCTTAATGGAGAATCCGACATTATGAAACGCATTAAATGTGGAATTATTCCGTTTTCTGCTGCCTGTTCCTGTCTCCGTTTATTAATTTTGCATAGGTTGAATAGTGCGTTCAAGACCTTCAAACAACATACAAAAATAATAATAAACATCATTATTATTCAAAGAAAGTCAATAATCATAATTAATGAGATATAATTTCACTTACCTCGTGATGAATTTGGGAAACGAGAGGGCCATCTTTGAGGTCAAGATTTGGGATAAGATGTTTAATGGCATCGGCTCTTTGTAGATGTTCCAAACAGTGTGGATCCGTGGACAAAAGATTGATGCATTTTAAAAGCTTTAATAGAATAGGGGGTTCGATTTTGTTGAACATTTGGAATAACCGGCTGAGTAAACTTTGGCTACACATGTACGACTTTACTGTTGAGTCAGCACCCGCGAATTCAAGTAAAAGATCAGCCACTTTTTCA